CCCTAGAGCGACAAACTGGGGGAAATAGTCGCTAAGGATTTGTCATATACATACTTTGGTGTATTTGCTCTTCCTGTGGGAAGCAGCAGAAGTGAAGTCGAGTTAGCCATATTCAAAATTTATTTGAAATGAATATACTTTAATGATGTCGTCCTGAAGCTGGAGTTGGTAGTCTCAATCTTTGTGAAAAATGATTGTGCTAGCTCCTCCATTAGAGCCCATGCTGACAAACACTGTTCTTGTATGGCAGATTTCTCTAAGATGCTTTATTAACAGTACACATTATTTATCTGTATAGTGTAAAGCATCCCACAGCAAAACCCTATGTATACCTGGTCTTATTTATGGCAACTTAGTAATTCTGAATGAAAAAATCTCTTTATCCTGCAGCTGCCATGTAAAGAGAGATGCTTCTGCTTCTTTGAGCAACCGCAAGTGGCGGTGCCCATTTTATTCAAGAACCTGGATGCTCTAGTCTAATTCTGGCAATTCATGTTAAACCTGTACCACAGTCCTGACAATGTTGTGATCTTAACCTCATAAATGTGAGAGGGGTGCCACCCCGAATATGAATATATTAGTTTTATGAGTCCTCTCCTGAAAATGTATCTGGCATCTTCTGAATCCAGATCAGCTTCTTGCTCCATCAGCAGTGAAAGAGAGATCTTGTTGGTTCTGCAGTCTGATTCATTCTGCGCCAGCCATGCTCAACAAGGGGCTGTGCTACCATATAGTGTGTTCACTTTGTTCAGGGAAAGGCAACCCATTAAACTGTTTGCCCCCCAATTACATGGTTTGGAAATAATGCCTTCAAGTTGTTTTTTATATGTAGTTTGTATTCTTTCTATGTTGTCATTCACCAGGAGCCCCAGTGTATAATTTTTCTTTTCTTTTTTTTTAAAAAAAGGCAAGCTGCAAGGGCTGGATCCTGTTTATGCACCACAGAATAGTTCCCCATGCCCACTCCAGCCGTTCATTACTTTAGTCACAGGGGAAATAAGCTTGTTTCTTGAGACAAATCCTTACAACAAAGCAGCCAAAGTTACCTGTGCTCCCTGCTTCTTTTTATTTCCTAAAGGTAGTGGGGATTCTTCTTTGGAAAAGGAGTTCACCTCCACAATCGTGGGGCCCACAGTGAGCACACCAAACAGCCAGCACTCCTCCCCAATCCGCTCCCTTAGCGGTGAGTACATGACCTACCTGCTCCAGATACCTTCAGGTGAGATTTTAGTGTATGAGTCTCTGTGCAATGCTTATTGGAGAAGAACACTTCTCAAGATCAGATCATCTCCTACTGCATGGGCAGGGAATTGGGATTGTTTGAGAAAGTGGAGACATCTGGGCCATGTGAATACAGCCCTTGGGAAAAATAAGAGCAGGGCCCAAGGGTGGGGCAGGGTGGAATGGAGGTAGAAACGCATGTACTTTATGGGAGACTGGTGTGGGTGATCTGGACTAGATTTTAACCTGTTACTTATGTAACTTCAGAAGTAGTATTAGGGTTTTTTCTTTCAAGATTTGAGATCATGTAGTTATAATGGGGAATGGATGGGCACTGTTAACATTGGTACCAGACCCAAAGAAATTATACTTGCATGCTGCATGGAGTTGTTAGATCTAGAGACCAGAAATTATACTTGCATGCTGCATGGAGTTAGATCTGGAGACTTCTAGATCTGAAGAGTGTTGAAAAGGGGCATGTTTGCACTGTTGGGTTTTTTGATTTGGTACATTCTGTAACTTCGGACATTTCCTGTTGGCATTAATGTCCTGTTTTAGCCTATTTCTACCATATTCTTCAAAAACCTACAAAGCCACCGAATTGCAGAATCAATGCAGGATTCTCAGGCTTGTCTCCAATAACACTGGTCACATGATGTTTATAAAAATCGATAACATGAAGTAACTATGTCTTCCTAATCTTAAATTGGGATAGTGGGGGAGAGCAAGTCCAGAATTGGGTTGGAAATGAGTTGGAAATGCCAAAATGGAATTCAGTGTTAGCTGTTTGGAATGGAATGTTCAGAAGCCCGTGTAACATACCCAGTGTGTTAAAAAAAAACTAGTTGGTCCAATGTAACTTGAAAGGAATTTAGCACATGAACTGAACGAACAGGAAATGAATATCTTCCCCTTTAACAGGGAGACACTGGTTGATGCTGTTGCTTCTGATCAGACTTGATTTCACAGCTGGTTCCTACAGCAAACTCGTGCCCCAGCGGAATAGGAACATTACATAACCTGTTTTGCCAGCTCAACCAGACGCTGCTTTGGTTCTGTAAGGAACGTTGCAGAACAATAGCCAGTTCTGCCTTCTCTGACTGGGAAAAAGAGAGAGAAATTCATTCCTAGGGGATGGAAACTCATCAAAGTCCATCCAGCCTCAATGTGTCTGGGCAGCTCCTGCCCTGGTGAATAGGCTTTCACTTAATATTTGTGCACAGATGTGTCAGCATGTCCTATATCTTCATGATGGTCTTAGGGAATAGGCTTTTTACAATCCCTCTGAACTCCAAGTTCTCTCCCTACCCCACCCCAAGAATGTGTTCTGGCCACAAGTACTGTTCCAAACCTACACTCTGGCATGTGGCATGACAGATTTGCTTCAGTGGTGTTCCCTGTCAAAGTCTTCCCACCTACATATTACTGTGGATTAGGGTACCATATTAGGAGTCAGTTCTATGTTCCGTCTTGGCCTGTCTCAGCCCTGACCTAAAAACAAAGGCTAAATCTTGACTTTCAGTGGGTTTGTTTTTGACCTCAATAAACTTTTTAAAAGTATTCATCTTAGATCTGCCTCCCTTCCTTTGAAGTACAAGCAGGTGTCACTCTTGAACAGAGAAGTGTTAGCTGGACAGTAGCTACAAAAAGAGTGAGTTGTTCTCTGACCCTCCTGTTAACTGCCTATGCTATGCTAAGGGCCGCTGCCTTGTCAGTGTCATGTGGGCCCATAAGTGTTGGCTGGCAGGCACTCTGGGCCAAGAGAGTGAAATCCCTGTCTCTTCAAAGGGTTTGTAATACACTGTGTTGTTGAGATACTTAAGGGGGAAATAAATGCTGAGATCTCTGGCTGATGGGTTAAGTTGTTTTAAAGTAAGGAGAGTGTGACTGGCCTTTTTTACCAACTGAGGGGACTCACATAGCCTCTCATGATTCTGGGAAACCAGGTTTGTTCAGTACTGTAAACCTTCCCCTCAGTTACAAGATGTTCTTAAGGGTAGCAAGAATAAAGGCTTTGGGTTCACTGCTGTGAGGTAAGTTTTGTGGCGAGCAATTAAAACATGGAAATCACTGAGGCAGGAGTTATATGTAAACTAGGAAAAAAGCCCATTGTGGAAATAAATACAATGGCCTCTAGAAAGAGGCTCTGGGCGGGTGCCCCGGCCTTGGCCACTCAGTGTCAATTTGCTGTGGCAACCTCAGCAGGGTATAATGACACTGAGTCCACCATTTTCTCCAGAGGAACTGATCTCTGCTACCTAAAGAACAGTTGTAATTTTGAGTGATTTTCAGCCCTCACCTGGAGATTGGCAACAATGGTTCCTCAGAAGGGAATGGTTGGTTTGGAGGGTGGAATCTATGGCTTTGTACCTGTCCGAGGTCCCATGCCTCCTGAAACCTCACCCTCTCCAGGCTCCATCCCTCACATCTCCAGGAATTTCCCACCTGGAGCTGGCAACCCTATTTCCTGCCCAGCCAATCATCAACCTACCTTTATTTCCCCCTACTCTTCAGCTTTCCACCTCCCACACACCTGCAGCCCCTCCCGTGCTCTGAAGTCCTGACTGCTACATCACATTGGCTGTCATACGGGGGCCACTTCAGCAGCATATAAGGATACAGAGCCCACCATTTTCTCCAAGGGAACTGATCTCTGCCATCTGGAAAGCAGTTGTAATTCTGAGTGATCTCCAGCCCTCACCTGAAGATTGGACACATTTTACCTCAGAATAGCAAACTGTTTAGAATGTTAGAGGCAAAAGCCAATCAAGTTGCTTATGCAAATGACCTCTGTGTTCCGAGGCAAAGGCCAATGAGGCTGCATATGCAAATAACCTCTGTGTTCTGACTGGCTGTGGGGGGGACAGCAAACTGTTTAGAATGTTGGAGGCAAGACTCAACCAATGCAGCTAGTGGATAGGGACAGATTCTGAGTGACACACCAGGGCGCCAACCAATTCTGGAGCGTGTGGAATGTTCTAGAGAACTGCCACCACCATTCGGCTTTTATATATAAGGGAGATAACAAGGAAGGTTTATTTATTTACAGGTTGGTTTTAAAGAACAGATCAGCAGCACAGGTCTCCAGATAATCAAAGGAGAAACCTGGCTGAGGCACATAAATTTAAGCTAGTTACAGCTTCTGAGTGTGGATGAATTCTCTGTAATGCTTTCAGGTACAAATAGGCTTTCACTGCCTAGCCCACTGGGTTGGATCCTTTCACACACACAAGTCTCCACCCACACCAGCCTGCCCTTTCCCAATAATCAGACTAAATGGTATGAGGTCTGCTCATCATCAGAGGCAGGTCTCACAGCTGGGTACTCTATCCTCCCCTCAAGTTAGAGTAAAAGCACTCTGCCGTGCTACCAGGCAGAGCCACCCTTCAAACTGCTCTCTCCCTGAGGCAGTCCCAAACGATCACTGTTCTCTCACTGAGGCTGCTGTGTGCTTCCCTCTAACAACTCCTGCTGGTGCTTCCCTCTAACATTCCATCATCCCCCCCCCCCCATTGGATGCTGGAGCAGCACCTCCCATAGGCTCAGGGATGAAACAGCCCTCTGTCTGTCTCAGATACCTTTTACCTCCATCAGTTCAGATGTGTAATAAAAGGCTTTCTGGGATTAGGGGCCAGCTGAGAATCACTTGGGGGGGGGGATGACTCTGAATTCCCACTTGCCCATCTCTGCTCTAGTGGCAGCCAGTGTTCCCTCTAGGCTGAGTTAGTGTGAGCTAGCTCACAGTTCTTTAGGCTCCAGCTCACACATTTTTATCTCAGCTCAGGAAGGACGGCTCCAGAGCAGACTCATTTCTGCAGGAGCCCAATCGCTCGCTCACAACTTTAATGCCAGGAGTTCACAAAGTAGAATTTTTGCTCACAAGACTCCACAGCTTAGAGGGAACATTGGTGGCAGCACTAGTGATATCCATGGATGCCTAGTCTACTGTGTATTGTATTCGAGTCCAGTAGCACCTTAGGGACCAGCAAGATTTTCAGGGTATGAGCTTCGGAGAGTCAAACACTCTGGCAAAGAGAGTTCTGCCTCTTGGAAGTTCATGCCCTGACAATCTTGCTGGTCTGTAAGTTGCTGCTGGACTAGACTCCAGCTCTTCCACCGCCGATCAACTCAGCTACCCTCTGAAACTGTCTGTATTGCGTGTTTACTGTGGATAGCAAGATAAATGTAGCTGCTTGCTGTATATGACCATGACCTAAGTTACTGTTTTGTTCCATCTCCCTTGCAGAAGGCATTTATACCATTATGCCCTATTTTTAGAGATGTGTACCTTAACAAGAAGTGTATCTTAAATGAAAAAGATTGGGGATACTTTTTGGTTTGTGAACAGTGTGTGTCTAAGCAGCTGGGGTCTTTTGTCTTACTAAAGTAATTTAATGCCAACCTGTTCTGGGAGCACAGGTGAATTCTGTGACTACACAGCATATCTTATCTCTGGCCTCCTCACATGGCTGCAGGCGGTGAATATGTGTGCCCATCACAAGGCCTCCCAGCAGCTGCATTTTCTTCAGTTCTGTGGCATAATAGGGAAAGGAACAACTGGGAAGGGGAAAAGATACGCCCGTGATGACCTACATTCTTAGCTGTTCTAATGCTCTGTGGAATACCACAAATCAAACAGCCTTAGGAGTGTACACTGCAATTAAATGGTAACTGTCATGGTCTTGCGAGGGGCTGTTTCATGGAGAATCAACAGGCTTATATTGTCCTCGTGCCTCCCTCCCTGAAACAACATAAAGTACAAAAAGACTTCATCCTCAAGGCCCAGCTAGATATGATGGAAGCAGCCGTCTTTGTTTGCTTCCCTGTCCTGGCCTGTTCACATATGGAGCACAGGGGTGGTGGGCTGCCTTTTTTTTTAAACATGAAAAGAATATGTAGCTGAGAAGAGCTGAATCCTCTCCCAGCCTGCCTTCAACACCAGAAGTAAGGCAAACTGGGAGAAAACTCCTGAAGGGATGGCATGCAGGAAGGATGAGGACAGAGTGGCTTTAGTTCCTCTTTTTCATGTTAAAACAGGGACCCTCCTGTCCGATTTAGGCCAGACTTACACATAACAAACGTGGCTGCCCTCTCATGGCTCTGTTTGGCTTTTACTCCTATGGTTTTCCCATTCAAAAAGAGAAGTAGTTAAGACGAGCAGCGCAGACAGAAGGGATCTGAATGTATGAGCCCCTCTTTCTTCCCATACACGCATTCTGACTGGTACAGAATGACTAAATCTGGCCATGAACCAAAGGTTCAGGAGTGCTATTCTGTGTGGCTTTTAAAAACTGCTGTAATGAAGGTTATTCCATATATCAGATATATCGGAAAGCGAAGACGGGAAACCCACATTTCTCTCAAACTTATTTATGTTAGGCGCTTCAAGGGGCACATCTGAGGTAATTGATCTTTCTTTCCCAGCTTCCGCTACCTGACTGAGAGAGCGTTTTGTTCTGCTGGATGTGAAAAGCTACTCCATGCTGCAGTCTGTAGTATGCTGGTATCAGTTGCCTAGTAATAGTTGTGTACTTTGACATGCAAAGGGCATTATTTTAAATCCTGGGATTCTGCTCACCGTTGTAGTTATTGAAATGGTCATCTTTTTCAGAGTGAGAAGTTAGAGAGGGTTGGCAAACATTTCAATAACTGGCTGAGGTAGCTGTGCTCCAACTCTAAAGCAGCTGCAGCTCTGGGGATAGGATTGGCCTTTTGATGCTAATGGAGAGAGGTTTCTTGATCCTGTTGTTAGTGCTCAAAATGGAAAAGGTTTGGTAATCAAGTCTTGTTCCCCTTCCTCCAGGGTTGTAGCGGGTTTTTTAATATGGGGTAGGGGCGGGTTCATGGCTTAAAAATTCTTTAATATGAGCCTTTTAAATGTTTTTGCTTTTGCCTTTTTCTTCTGCAGCAAATTCTATCAAGGTGGAAATGTACAGTGATGAAGAAGCAAGCAGGCTGCTGTCGCAGGACGACCGGCTCATTGAAAAAGATGACAGCGTGATTGTGGAGGATTCTCTTTCTGAGCCTCTTGGCTACTGTGATGGGTCGGGGCAGGAACCACACTCTCCTGGTGGCATCCGGCTACCCAACGGCAAGCTAAAGTGTGACATCTGTGGGATGGTGTGCATTGGCCCAAATGTGCTGATGGTGCACAAACGCAGCCACACTGGTGAGCAGGCATGGCTGCTAGAAACCAATAACAGTGAGGAATTCCATAATGATATAGTAGCCTAGTCCTTAATGGTCAAACTCAAGTTGTCTGATCTTGGATAGCATAGGGTAGCTATGAGCTGTCTTATCATTAGATGGCAGTTTTCTCAGGCTTGGACTCAGTTAAACTAGTAGGGGTACTTTGCTTATACAGTACTTTAGCATGTTCAAAGCACTTTTTCTGATCTCTGTAACCCTTATGACAGTGATGTAAAGTAAGTGAATATTATTGTCCCTATGTTACAGATGGGGTTGAGACACAGTGGCTTGCCTAAAGTCACCAAATTGATTTTTAGCTGAGCTGTAGCAGGTGGACTAAAGCTTTCCCAGCTACAGTGAAAAGAGTAGGACATGTTTTCTGGTCCTCAGATAGAGCAGGGTCAAAATGAGTATAATCTAAGGATCAAAGGAACCATGTAGAGCAAAGCATATCTCAAAGGCAGTAAAGCAAGCACGAGCTAAGGTTGCTTGGAGGCTCCAGAGACTGTAGAACAAAATGTAAAGGCCAGACCATTACGCAAGGTTAACTGTCTGACTTGGCAATGCTAGCCCTACACTAATCTGTGCCTCCAGTTCCCACTCACTCCAACAGGGAAGACCATGCTGATTTCCCCCCATGATAAATGTGAAAATATGTACAAGGAATTAAGTTGTTATGCTGGAAAGATGAGCTTTTAAGTTCTGAAAGTGGATCCTATTTAAGATCTTCTGTGACTATTCATAACATGGATTACGGAATCTTTAACTACTTGGCAGCCGGAATGAAATGGACCGGAATAAGCTGCTTTTCTGTTGAATGGGATACCATCCAGAAGAAGATCAAAGCTGGGATGCCGCTTGGTGAAAGCAAAGTATCAAAGCTAATGTCTCTGGACATTCACTAGTGATACTCTTCTTTCTAGGTGAGAGGCCATTCCATTGCAATCAGTGTGGTGCCTCCTTCACACAAAAGGGTAACCTCCTGCGCCACATCAAGCTGCATTCGGGTGAGAAGCCCTTCAAATGTCCATTTTGCAACTATGCCTGCCGGAGAAGAGATGCACTCACTGGTCACCTCCGCACACACTCGGGTAGGTCACAGGGCACCTCTCCCACCTGAGAGCTCTAATAATGGTCTGGATGAGGCTTGGTGAAATGAGAGGGGATTAGTAGGTGCTGTTTCTTGCTCTGTGGCCTTGGACTGAGGTGCTGTCAGTGGGAACTTACCTGGTGTAAAATGTATGAGAAGTCTCACCATTCACAGGTTTTCCAGGCATCACTTTTGTTTTCAGCTCTTGTTTTTGTTCTGTTGCCTCCAGTATCTTCCTTCTAATTTAGCTCCACCCATTCATGGTGCCTCCGTTTCTAGCAACTATTATTTATATTTGTATTCCATCTTTTCTCCAAAAAGTTCATAGTGGGGGTGGGGATGCTGTCACTGCAGTTTCCAGTTGAGGCACTGGCCAGGTTAAGTTCAAAAATTAAGTGTCTCTGCAAGTTTGTCAATGCTATCCTAAGCGGAGTTGCACCCTCGCAAGCCCATTGGCTTCAGTGGACTTAGAAGGATGTAACTCTAGTTAGGGTTGGCTCTGCATCCATCTCTTTCAGACCATTTCTGTGGTTAAGATACCGCAAACTTTAACTGATCCTGGAGAGCTTAATGCCAACAACACCAGATAAGCAAAACCAGTTACTTCTTTGTGGTTTTTGTGCGTTACACTGTTGGGGTTTTGTGCTTGTGCGAAACTATGGTTCAAACACATGTAGAGGCAAAAAAAATCCTCCCAGCTCAGAGATATGGCTTTGGACTGTGCATGCCCAAAGGGAAGGACTTGCACCTTCCTGCTCAGTTCACTTCCTTTTTGTCTGCCGTAGCAGCATTTAGGAGTCCTCTTCTCTCTTGAACCTGCCTTGTTTGTTACAGGAAAATACTTTTATATAGTTCTGTTTGTGTCTTGGTGTACACAGTAGCTGTGTCAATAGTGTATCTCTGTGTTCTGTGAGTGCTGGGTGCTTGTGTCACTACTAACTACACTTAAGTTCTGTTGATTGTGTGAAAGGGATATTCCCTTGATGGAGAGATACAACCATGGTTTACTGTGCCTTGACGAAGGCTGGCCTTTCTCCCTACTGCCTGAAGTTCTTAAAACATAGGTTGCATATGTGGTTGACATGAGGAGTTGACAATTGTCTGTTAACTGTGGCATTTGTGTTGCAGCTTTTCATTTAGTTTGAAGCTCTGTGTTGTAACAGCTGGCTTGTCTTGGGTAGGGAGGGTAAAATCTGCCCACCTGCTGAGCTTTTATTATTTTTCCCTTAGTTTTTTGTTTCTGCATTGGCTTTAGGCTTCTAAAAGTTCACCCAGGTGTTCACAGCTGTCTGTGACCCTTCTCTCTGTTAACATTTCAAGCACGAAATCAGTGGAGATTCTTTAAGTGGTGACTACATGTTCATTTAAACTGTGGCTTCTTTGGGTGGTCCCTATAATGGTACTGGCACTTTCTTTGTTTAAGCAAAATGTGTGTTAATAGAATAGTGAATACAGAACTGTTCTTCATGTTGGAGCAGTGAACTCTTCTTGACTGGAGAAGGAGGTGATGTGAAAGACCTCTGCCTGAGACCCTGGAGAGCCGCTGCCGGTCTAATTAGACATATCCTGACTTTGGTGGCCCAAGGGTCTGATTCAGTTTAAGGCAGCTTCATGTGTTCAAGGGCTCTGCAAAGTGGCAACACAGTAGGCCCAATAAGATTTACCGACTGAACTGTTTTGAATGCTGTAACGGTTTTGCATCTACATCTGGCAATATTTTATAAAATTAGGGTTTACCGGTGGCAGGCTC